GCACACCTCTTCCATGCCCACCTGTGTGGTGTAGTGGACAGCCGGGGGCTATGCAGCGGGCAGTGCAGGGAGGCTCACAGGGCCAGCTCAGCCCGACGGGAAGCCACTCTGCCAACCTCAGCTCAGCATCGCCTGGAAACTGCAGGCTGAGTCCCTCTGTGGGACGGGGTGCTCTGTGGCACTACTGCATCGGGCATGTAGCACTAGAGACTGGCAGGATCATTCACATTTTTAGATGGGGAAACCAAGGACTCAAAAAGCTTTGCAGGAACCCTTGGAAGTAGAGGAAGTCATTAACAGCTGGTTTGCAGAGGCCAGTGGTTCTCAAAGTGAGTCCCTGGGCAGAGTCTGGGGGTTGGTCACCTACGAGCTCCCAAGGGAGGCTGCTGTCGGAGGGTGGGCAGGTTCACAAGCACTCGGGGTACCCACACAGCCAGAAGTCTGAGCTGCCCTCATGGGGCAGGCCCACTGCCTCCTGGCCTGGTGCGCTTTGGGTAAAGTCAGGAAGAAGGCGAAGGAAGAGATTGTAGAAGTCAGCTGCGTAGAACTTCATCAGCAAGAGGATTCAAGGTTCACTTTCGAAGGGTGGGTGATGGCCAGGCCCCTTCCTTGTGGACTTAACAGACGCCAGGATGTAGGAGCACTGGGTGCGGCTTTCTCTCACACCCCTTCAGCACCTGGGGGGGGCAAAGCTTCTGCCCATGCTCTGGGGGGAGAGGAGGAGCCAGCTCCACCTAGTTCCAGAGCCGGGATGGTGACTGCGATTTCATTCTGATGCGAGGAGGGAGCCCCTGGCAGCATGATCGCAGAAGTGTGGGGACGATGTCAGAAGGTAATGTGGGAAATAATGAGGAAGTGAGAGATTGGGCTGCACCGAGGAGGGCTGGAGAATAAGGAATCGTGCCAGTTCCCCGGAGGACAGAGAAACTGGAAGACGGGAGCAGAAGGAGGTACACCCTGTCACCAGGGCCACCCAGCTGGGGACAAACCAGAACCAGGGCCACTCCGGCCAGAACCAGACAAAAACAGGAGATGCTGAAAAGGACTTTGATCTTCTAAAAGTTTCAAGAGAAATGTCATTATAAACATGTTAGCGGCCTCAGGTTAAAGAGATGTCCAGTGTAAAAAAAAATACTAGTATTTCCAACATGTAAATAGTCCTAATCCTTAAATGTCATTAGCAATGCTTCAGCCAGAATAATAGTTGTTTTTGACATTTCTTGAGGGTTTCTTTCAGGGGAAGAGTTGGTTTTGGCTTTTGTACTGGGGTGAGGGTCTAGTTTGTTTGGTGGTTTTGTTTTTGCTTTTATTTGCAGTACTTGAGAACAAACTCAGGGTTTTATACTGAACTCCATCTCAGCCCTATTTATTTTTTCCAAATTTTGAGACAGGGTCTCAGTAAGTTGCTTAGATGCCCAGGCTAGGCTAGAACTTGCAATCCTCCTGCCTCAGCTTCCCAGAGTCCTGGGATTACAGGTGTGGGGCCAGTACCCTTGGCTGATGTGGTTGTTTTGGTTTTTTGAGACAAAATCTTATTCTCTTACCCAGGCTGGTGTTCATCTCTTAGGCTCATGCAGATCTGCTGCCTCTGCCTCCCACACAGCAGGGGCAACAGCACCCACCACCAGCCGAGAGTGTGCCCCTTAGCCAGTGAGGGTGGCCAGGCACACAGGCACAGGGAAGCTGAAGTCCTGCGGCTGCCACAGTCTGCGTCCCGGAGGTGGATGCCAGAGCCGGTCCAAAGCCACCAGTGCTCTTTCTCTCCCTCTCTCCCTCTCTCTCTCTCCCTCTTTCCTTCTGAATCTGCCTTCTGTAAGTATTTGGTCCTTTCTGCCACTGGCTAATGTCCCTCAGCATAATGTCCCAAAGGGTTTCCTTGTCACTGTAACTAAATACTCGAATACTGGTAATTTACAAAAAGCAAGAGGTCCATTTAGCTCACAGTTCTGAGTCTGAGAGGCCCCAGAGCATGGTGCTGGCCTCCAGCGAATGCTTTCTGGCTGTGTGACTGTGTCAGGGGGAACTTCACAGTTCTGAGGCTGAGAGGCCCCAGAGCATGGTGCTGGCCTCCAGCGAATGCTTTCTGGCTGTGTGACAATGTGGCAGGGGGCACCACGTGGTGAGACACAACTCTGCTCACAAAGCCACCATCCCTTCACGGAAGTCCCATCCTGTTGTCCTATCTTATTACTAATTATGTCCCAAATGCCACTCCTCCCAGCAGCACGTGCATGTGGGGGTGAGCTTCTAATACATGAAATCTGGGGACACGATTGAGCCAGAGCATTGCATGGCTCCCGGGATAGTCTGAGAGAGGACCGCCTCCCAGGACAGTCCCCGACCACCTTCCTGCACAGCCCTCACCCTGCACCTTTCCCTCTGCACGACCTCCAGCGGGCTTTCCTCAGGACGTGGTCAGGAGCATGTCTGCCTGGGCCGGACCTGTCAGCTGTGCAGTACACACTGGGAAGAAGTCCTGTGGCGGCCAGTGGGAGCCTGAGCCCCATTACTCATGCGGGAGGGCTGCCTGCCCTCAGAAGCCAGCTGTCTAGAAGCCTCATCCCCAAGCTAGTGATTCTCAAATCTCTGCTGGGAAAGAACTTGTGCATGGTCACTTCTCATAAAGACATGTACTCACTGTGGTCAGGTCCAGCCATTGCTGTCTGCTGTCTGTGGACCTGGCTCGGGGGTGACAAGGACATGCTGAAGAGTGGATGCCCCCTTGGGATCAAGCAGCATCCCAAAGTCTACCCTTCACGGGGCTCTGGCCTCCACCTGTACCTCTGCCCCTGGAAAAGAAAAAGTCCAGGGCTCTGCAGTCCCGCACCAGAGCCCTGGGGTCAGGGCCCAGACAACAGGGTTCTGGTGACAACAGCACTGTGCGCTGTGTGGGGCTATATTGCGCAGATGGACCGATGCTGCTCGAATACAGGTCGCCTGTGGTTCCCACCCTCGCCCCACCCAGGGGTCAGAGCTCCATGTCTTCCTGGCCTCTCTGTAGGACTCACCACCCTGAGGGCACAGCCTGAGGGGCAGTGGAGGAGTGGGACCTGCTGAGGGACCTGGGCCTACCAGGGAGCGGAGCCTCCTCCTGTCTGTCACCTTCCAGCACAGGCTGGAGCTCCTGGCCCAGGCATGGAAGCTGGGCCGTGGCCTCTGCTCCCAAGCCCAGCTCTGGGCCTGTTTTTCCCCCACACAGCCTTCATGTTTCAGAACCCCATCCTTGTCCTGGGCAGTGCCCATAAACATTTGATGAAAAGAATGTTCAGTTATTTTAAAAAGACACAACCACCATGTGTTGTATGCCATGTTTTAACACTTCAAAAACTACCTGCAGAATAATCTGTGCCGTCCAATTATATATTTCTCCCAGTAAGAAAGGAAAATTCCAGTGGAAATCATGAAATGTTTAGAATCAATCATAGATGTAGCTAAAATGCTGCATGAAATTTTAAAGTCATATAAACATATATATTAAAAATGGACATTAGTAATCCATATACCCACCTCAAGAAATTTTAAAACAACACTAAATTTAAATATATCAGAAAGACAGAAATATAGATGAGAATTTTTAGGGAGTTTTAGGTTATTTCATTACAAAGAAGAAATCTGATACAACATCTATATGCACCAATTCTCCAACAAGGAATTTATTTGCTATGTATGCATCACAAACATACTAATAAAAAATTGAAATTAAAAATGCCATTTTGGGCCAGGGATGTAGCTCAGTGGTACCGAGTTTAGTCCCCAGTACCAGAAAAAATTAATTAGTTAAAAGCCAGATTTTAAATATCTGTAACACTAATGGGTTAAATCTGTTTCTGTTTGCTTGAGTTATGTTAACAGAACTCAGTAAGACATTAATTTAGATTATTGAAAGAGAAAAATCAGAGCCTACAATTTGCACATGTTACTGTGTCTTTCCACTTGTGGGCTGAGACGGCTGATGCTTTTTCCAGCCATTGGACTCAATTAATGAAACGGTGCTGGGCGGGCCAGGCAGGGCTCAGGAGTGCCAGCCACTTCTTCTCAGTGCCCCTCGCGACTTCCCAGGTACCACACAGCTAAAGAGAACGAGTGGGAGCTGGGTGCTGAGGGCTGGGAGCCACTCGGACTGATACCCTTCACTCTGAGCACCCCTTCTGTCACTCCCAGGCACAGGAGTCTCCCTGTTTTGTGCAGAGCCACAGTCCCCCTCCAAGTCCTAGCCTATGACCATGACCATTTCACCCTCCAAGTCTAAATTCCTGTTGGGACTTTCGCGGGAACCTGAGCGACCCTCTGCTGTGAATAGCCACTTTGATCGCTTTGGTTTTCTCATGAATACTGTCATGAGCACAAACTGACCAGGTAAATTCACAATAAAAGGTTAGGTTTGTTTTTCCCCTACTGGAGCACCTCGCCAGATTTCATCTTTAAAAAACGACAATAACAAAAAATTCCGTTGCTGATAATGATTTGTGGCGTCGTCTCGGAGTGCGGTGACACTCGGCAGCAAGTAGGAGTGATTCTGAAAGGAAGGTGTGAGAGGGATGTGGAAGGACTGAAAATAACCCCAGGTCTATCATTTTATGTGTAATTTTCAAAACTTAACGTCGTCCTGTTAACATCTGTGTTTTGTGACAAGACACAGCAGAAACAGCTGCCTACGGGGAGCGGTAGAAAACCCTCTGTGGGGGCTGGGGTGCAGCCCAGGGGTACGGCACCTTCCTAGTGTGCACAGGCCCTGGGGCCCATCCCCAGCACCAAGAAAATATCTTTAAGAAACAAGCCATGGTTGGTTTGAAAGCTGTGCGCAGAGTCCTTGCCACGGTTGCTAGAATGCTGTTCATACAAGCCGCATTTCTCCAGTCTCGCTTCTCACACCTTCTTGGATGGAGGGAGCTGGGTGTTTCAGCTCCCCTGACCCGGCTGGCGAGTGTGTGGTCCATGGGTGGGGGCTCACCCTCAGCCCTGAGCCGGAAGACACAGTGATCCCTTGTGTGTCCCTGCAGGGTTTTCCCGGAGTCCCTCCGGTGGCTGATGGCGACTCAGCAGTTTGAGGCCGCGAAGAAGCTGATCCTGCACTTCACACAGAAGAACTGCATAAGCCCAGAGAGCGACATCAAGGGCGTGATGCCAGGTGAGTACCTGCCGCTGGCTGTTCAGCTCCCATGCAAGCAACCGGTCAGAATGGACAGCCATGGCCCTGGTGTCCAGGAATGAGGCTGAACTGAAATTCTCTCTGCTTCCTGAGTGCTGGTTTCTTTCATAATCGCGATCTACACTCACTGTTCTTCCAAGCCGGAGGCAGGGTCTGAGCCTCGCACACAGCTGGTCTTCACCGGGTGCTGGCTGTGAGGCTGGGGCCCTGCCGGAGCCCTGCTCAGGTGTGAACGACCTTCACAGCCCCTCTTTTCCCAAGTGTGACCAGCCGGTGTCTATTTCCAGCCATGACCTATTTGCTGGGCAGTGGAAGACCTGGAAAAGTGAGGTGTTTCTGTGTGGCACTTCAGATCTGTAGATTTCTTGGGAATCGGGCATTGCCACAATTGAGGCAGGGTTCCAAGCTGGGGATCCTTAAGTGACAATGAGGAGGTGCCACGTCCAGACTCCTGGGTCCCTCACCAGCACCCCGAGATCTGAAGTGAGCCCCGAGGACTTGGATCTGTAATGAGCACAGAAGCGGTTCCCGTGCGAGCAATGTCCAGATCTGTTAACCCTGGGAGCTGCCTGACCTGCAGGCCTGGTGTCCAAAGTTGTTGTAAAGTTTCCAAGAATGATCCACAGGCCTCTACTGAGGGGGTGTGCAATCTCCTCTGGGATCAGAAGTCCTTGTGCCGACCGTACATTGACTCATTTAACAGATGCTTCCTCTCCACCTGCTGTGTGTCAGGCACTGCTCTAGAACGGAGAAGGAAGCTGGACAAGCCCTGCTCCCAGGAGCACAGGAACAGGGGCCTAGGGCCTCTCTCTCAGTCAGGGGGAAACACTGGCAGAGCCGAGGGGGTGGCAAGTGACTGGTCAGAAAAGCTGGGTGGCCCGGCTGCAAGCTCCAGGAAGAAGGGACTTGAGCAGGCGGGGGAAGGGACATGGAGAGACCCGATCTGAAGCCCATGGTACCCAGCCACCTTCTCACCAGGCACCCACTTAGGAGCTCACCAGACCCCACCACACACTTCAGCACAGCCCAGGTTAGAGTCCCAGCTTCCAGGCCATTAAGTGCTGCTCCCTCCAGGGGCCTGTCCCTTTCATCCCCAGGCACTGGTGATAAACAAGATGGCTGTGGTGCTGATGTGGCAGCCTGTTTCTACATGATTTGCAAATATTAACTGACATTTAATCCTAAATGCTTTCCATGAATTAACCTATTTCTCTACAGCCATCCTCTGGTGAGATGCTATGATGATCCCCATTTGCACATGTGGAAACTGAGGCACGTGGAGCCTGAGTGCTCATGCCAGACAGAGGTCACATGGCTACTGAGTAGTTGAGCTAGAACTTGAACCCAGGACATCCAGTGTGAGTGGCTTCAGTTAGCTGCTCTGAGAAAGGAGGGAGCCCTGGGAGATACCCATGGAAAGAAATGAGTGTTACATTAAGTGCCTTTACTTCCACTTGTGAGGAGTTTGGAAAAGTCCCTGTTTCCATTGGATAACTAAAGATACAGGAACGCCTCTGGGACCCAGCAATCTCACAGGGCCTCGGGTCGGCTAATACTCCTTGGAACGCAGGGCCTCTAGACTTCTGTCCCCAAAGGACGCACACAGTGCTGCAGAAGCTTTATGTCATCTGAGAGGACAGTGATGAGAGGAGCAGAGTCCCTGACAAAAATATCAATAGCCCCAGAAAGGTTAACTTAATTCCACTTAGAATAATGTGGTTACTTCTGTGGACTACAGTCAATTCTTAGACTGGGCTCCAGGACTTAATGCTACTTAAGAAAATAATTCAGGCCCTAATGTGATTGCTGCCGCCTTAACACTGTATTCCATGCACTACGATAACCATTCGCAGTGAAGTGTGCGCCACATTAAAGAAAGCAACAACGTTAAGCTTAGGTGAAGGCGCTAGTGGTCATTTACATTTGTTTCCTTCTTGGAAGGTTGGCCTGCTAAGAAAGTGTGGCCATTCCAGGGGATTTCCAATGAGGGATGCCAGATGGCTGGAGCTAAGGCTATCTGCTGATCACATCCCCAAGCTCTTTAAAAACACAGCCACACGCCACCACATAGCACCTGGGTAGTGATGGGCACATGCACAGTAGTGGTCCCATCAGATCTCAATGGTGCAGAAAGTTCTCTAACATCGCAGCCATCATATTGTCACCGTGAGACACACTGCCCACGTGTCCACAGTGAAGCTGGGACAACACGCCCACTTCACTGCCAGTCATGTGAAAGTGTGAACTCGTGCAGTTACGCACGGTGCGTGGCACTTGACAATAAATGATTGTGTTTCTCGTTTCACATTCAGGCTATTACACTTGGACTGTTGTTTCAGAAATGCCCTCCTCATTAGAAATGGGGCTGGCTATAAAACAGCAGCCTCATCCATTGTGTTTTCCACATCTCTTGGTCGCCTGAGGCCCCTACACAGTCTGGGTTTGTGGAGGACAGTCTAGGGCGTGCACGTGGTGACACAAACACCTAACAACAACTCCCTGACTGGATCCACCAGCCCTGTCACAAGATGACTCTGATGAGTGTGCTCACTGTTTTACTCTTCAGAAAATGTGTCTGTGAGTCAGGTGAGCCTGTTTTTGCTGAGGGGCAGAGACCAGGCAGGGGACCGGGGGAGCTGAGCGGGTTGGGGACAGATGGTGGAGTCCCAGCTGCTCTGGCCTCTGGCCTCTGCACAGAAGGAAGGTTACTGGCATCCCTCTGACAGAGGAAAGGCTTTTCTCTCCCTTTTACCCCATGTGATGATGCAAGTCCAAAAACTTGTTTAAATAAATTCTTCAACCCCTATTTTTAAGTCACATATTTCTTCTTCAGACTGTAAGGAATGAAGTTTGCAATGGATGAGACAGGACAAGGGGTTGGCACGTGTCCCATCCCAGAGTGGACATGGCCCTGGGAAGTAGCATTGTGGGGCCCCTGGGTAATGTTGCAGGGCTGCACACCCTAGGAGTAGAGGTCCCCCTCTGAGGCAGCAGCCTTCACCCTGACAGAGGGGAGCATCGGTTTCAGGACCCCCGACTCCTGCTGACCTCGAGCCCTTGCATGAACGGGGTTGTGTCTGCACAGAAGCTTCACACACCCCTGTGTGCTTGGGTCTTTCCTAGACAATGTGCTAGACCCGACACAGTGTGACAGTGTGTAGAAGGTCGGCACACTCTACAGCTTAGGAAATCGCGACAAGATGAAGTCTGCACCTGTTCAATATGGACGCCACTTTTCCAAATATTCTAGAACCCTGCCTGGTGAAGGCCAGAATCCAAATCCTCCAGGCATGGAGGGTGGGCTGCATAAGCCTCCAAGCCTTGAGGGTCCTCCATTTCCATGGACATTTCTTATTTATAATACATTTCTTATCTGGGGATAATGTCATACAGGAAAGTTGCCAAGACAGCTCCAAACTCAGTGCCCTGATGTTACCAGCCACATTTGGCGGGAGTGAACCGTAGTAGAACCACTGTCAACCAAACTCCAGTGCTCTTGGGAGTCTCTGGTTTCCCACTGGTGACCTGCTCAGGATCCCACCCAGGACGCAGGTCACCTCCCTGTCCCTGGGCCTCTGGTCTGGGATAGCCTCTTGGTCTCTCGGTCTGCCCTGTTTCCCGGCCTGGACAGTGCTGAGGTCTGTGGGCTCCGTGTTACCTCGGACCCTGTGAGGATATATGCCGCTGGCACAGAGAGCCCAGGGGGCCAAGCAGGGAGGACACTGCTGCCACAGTGCAGGGCAGGCTGCTCCTTGTCTGAGCATTCGGTCAGGCTGCCACAGGGGCTCCAGGACACCCATGAACTCCTGGCCTAGTGCCACGGCGCTGGGGCTCCTGAGGACACCTCTGTCTCAGAGCTGTGTAGCCCAACGCTGCCCTCTCTGCTGAACATCATCTGTGTTGTTCGGCGATGACAGGCTTTGTGCTGGGGATGGAACCCAGGGCCTCATGTGTGCTAAGCACTTGTTCTACCACTGAGCTAGTGCCCAGCCCCAGGCTGTTTGCTGAAACACATTCTTGTTCATGTGTACACAACTGCATATGCATGTCGTCACATGTATTCAAAGACCTACGTGTTCCCAGGATGTGGACAGAAGTAGCTGCTGTCCCGGTCAGCACCGGCACAGCGCCTGCTGCTCTCTGAGCCCAGGGAGCCCCAGACACGTGTGATTCTGCTGCTTGTCGCCTCTAGGCCCTGGGAGCCTAGAATCCCACCTCTGAGTGCGGCTCTCGGGCACGGGGACACAAGGCCACACTGTGTTTATTTGTGTGCAGGCTTCCTGGTTCCGTAGCAAGGGTTTGTGATGGAAACTCACTGGCTGTACACTCTGGCGCCCGCCCAGGCTCCACAGGGGAACCTGAGCAGTGAAGTAAGGGTCTTGTGAGTCCTGAAAGCCTAGTTCCTGGCTGCCAGGGAAGGGACAGCTCTCCCAGGCCCCAGCTCACTGTCTATCTCTCGCAGAGCTGGAGAAGGAGCTGTCCCGGAGGCCCAAGAAGGTGTGCATCGTGAAGGTCGTGGGAACCCGAAACCTGTGGAAGAACATCGTGGTCCTGTGTGTGAACTCGTGAGTCCTGGGGCACCTGTGGCCATGGCATGCAGGGCGGGGCCTCCTCCCAGGATAGCTGTGAGAGGGCAGGGAAGGGTGGCACTGCCCACCGGAGCTACTGTCTGTGGTCAGAGGGGCCAGGGCTCGCAGATGTCCACTGCCAAGAACCCCCATGTCCTGCATGGCTCCCCAGTGCCTTGGCAGGCAAAGGCAGTGGCAGGCCCTTCTCCTTAGCCCAGCCTGCTCCAAGGTGCCCACACAAGGGCAGCTGCAGGGAGTGTTCAGTCCCCTGACCCCGAACATGGGCCCAGATGCCCCCAGAGCCTCCTGCCCTGCTGCTCATGCCCAGCTCCTGCACTCAGGGCTTGTGGTAGCTGCCTCCCCCAGCTCGGTGTGAACCTGGAAGGTCTTCCTGTCTCACCTCACAGATTGGTGACCCTGCCTTTCCTGGCTGACTCCTCATTCGGAGACAGAGGTCACCTGTTTGTGAAAGGTCTCAGGGCTGCCTTCCAGTAGAGAGAGGCCCGGGACCGGGGCCTCCATTTCCTCCCAACTTTTCTGTCAACATATCTATTTTATCCAGTTCTTGATGTTGTGGTTCCAGATTCAGTTTCATCTATGTGGGATACAAAAGGTCTCACTGCCAACCACACGAGAGCAAAGACGCACCTTCTGCTCTTTCCACCGTCAGCTGCGGCCAGGCCTGGGGCCCACCGGCCCACCCCCTGCCCAGTGTGGCCTGGGCACGGTCATCTAGCTGCTGTCCATTCTCAGGCAGGTGTTGGCCAGGAAGGCGGTGCCATTGGGAACAGAAGGGTTTCTCTAATTTTGAGTCACAAAGAAAATCGGGCATGGAGAAGATGATGCATTTCCGGTTTAGTGATTCCTGTGAGAGGAGAAGGAACCCATCTTCCTGGCTTTGTTATTTTTAACTCCACCTGTTGTGGTCAGAGTACTTCATTTCTCTCAGAACAAAACGGCTCTGTGGGCCAGGAAGCACAGAGATCCCTGCAGGATCTCAGGAGACTTAGTGAGCTGGCTCCATTGTGGTGTAAATGGTTGGCGGGGGCTAGGGCCTGGTGGAGAAGCCCCCAGTGGCTTCCCCTTGTAAGGGTCAGTATATCTGACCTCAACACCTTGTAAGGGTGTTGAGGTCAGATAAAGAGCACTTGGATTGAGCTCTGGGGTGGAACCAAGGGCTGGTGGTGTGGCTGGGCTCTCCTGGGCCCGCAGACCTGTCACACCCTGCCACACCCCAGAGGGCCCGTCACAGCCCGACTCACCCGCCACCCTGGGCAGCCTCGGCCTGGTCTCCATCCTTTTTTCAGCATGGCCATCCATCTGCCACCTGGGACGTTCCCTCCCAGCAGGGTGTCACTTAGGGAGGGGAGGAGTCTCCTGACACAGGTAGTTGAGACCTTCCTGTAGCCCTCATGTCTTCCTCGGCCTGACTGCTGTCGTTTCCCCCAGTTGTCATGGCTGAGCAGTGGCAGACATGGGTAGAAAAGTAGCCCTCTGCATGGTCCCCAGGTTTCCAGTATGCTGAGTGCCCCAAGAGGAGGCAGGTGTCAAACAGCTGCACTGCCCAGCGGGACCCTCTAGAAAGAGGGCATGAAGGCATTCCCACACTGCTGCCCTGCACTGAGCTCATGCGCAGAAAGGGCCTCGTGTTACACACTGGCTCTTCGGAAAGAGACCGCCTGCACGCTTCTGAGAAGTCTCTTCCTTCGCGATTTACTCCACCGTAGCCGGTGTATGGGGACAGCATGCTTCTCCTTACACACTCAGTTGCTTCTCCCTCTGCCGGTCCCCAGGAGGGGTCGCAGCCCTGGGGTGCGTGCACACCGCCCACTCCCCACTCCCCGTGTCCCCCACAGGCTGACAGGGTTCGGGATCCACCACTGCTTTGCAAGGAGCATGATGGGCCACGAGGTGAAGGTGGCACTGCTGGAGAACTTCTACGCCGACTACTACACCATGGCCAGCATCGCGCTGGCGTCCTGCCTGGCCATGTGCGTGGTGGTCAGATTCCTGGGGCGCAGGGGGGGGCTGCTGCTCTTCATGATCCTCACTGCCCTGGCCTCCCTCCTGCAGCTCGGGCTCCTCAACCGTGAGTGACAGGGGAAGGGACCGGTGAGAGGGTGCGGGGGTGCGGGGGCTGGTGAACCACTGGAGCGGGTTTGGAGGTGCACTGGCTGCCATGGTAACAAACAATCAGGGGGGACTGACTTAGAAAGAGGAAAGGTTGGCTTTGGCTCAGTGTTTGAGGGGTCAGTCCACAGCCAGCTGGTCCATTGCTTTGGGGCCTGTGGCAAGGCCCCATGTCATGGTGGAAGCATGTGGCAGAGGAAAGTGCCTACCTCATAGTGGCTGAGATGCAAAGGACAGTGGGAGAGGAGGGGCCAGCGCCCCACAGTCCCCTTCCAGGCTGCCCCCACTGGCCTAACTTCCTCCCTCAAAGGTTCACCTTTTAAAGTGTCCACCACCTCCCAATACCTGGAGAACAGTGGACAGGCGAGGTCTAAAACTGCAGCAGAGGAGCTAAGAAGTGTGCTGTGACCTGTGCGGGCATTCCACATTTCACAGCTTGAAGAAACAGCTCTGGCAAAGATGGAGCTTAAATTAGCATCTCCAAGGGTGCTAGGCTTTCTTCCCCCTCCCACGCTCTGCTCTGTGGCCCTGCTTAGAATGTCCTGCTGGATGTGACTTTATGACTTGCTGGGCAGACTGTTTCTATGGGACTCATCACATGACATGCCACAGATGACGTGTTTCTTTTGTGTGACTTTAGGGGGAAACCTCTGTTTTAACATCTTGCATGGGGTCCTGATTTTCCATAGATTTTCCCAAGTTATGCATCTTCTCCTTCAACCCAAGAATTTCTCAGTAAACATTAGAAATAAACTAAGGCAAAGCTAAGGAATCCATCTGGCTGCTCCAGCAAGTGCAGAGTGGCTGCTCACCAGATGTGCTGCCTCTTGTATGGAAATGGCAATCAGCCACCCGAGGTGACCACTGGGCTCCTCATCGTGCCCTGGGCACTGGGGAATCTGTGCCACAAACGCCTCCTTCGATGGCAGGTGAAAGGACTTGGCTGCTTGAGTCAGACCCACGCCTGGCCTTGCGTGCACACCAGAATAACCGCACGCAGACAGATGGCCGTGAGCTACTTCAACCCGGGAGCCATTTTTCCAGCTCGGGCCAATTCCTGGCCATCTGCTGCCTGCCAGGAGGCAGACTAATTTGCAGCTGGAACAAGTTGTGGACATGGACCAGGGATATCTGTCTCCCTGTGGCACTAGCTGTCCTTCCAAGGAGCCCTGAGCCCCTGGGGAGTCACAGGTACCCTTCTTGGCCCAGAGCAGGAATAGCAGGGAACTCTGGGCAAAGGCAGGGGGAGCGAGGAGCAGAACTCAGGGATCTGCACTGAAGGGCTGTGGTGTCTCCCTGGCTCCAAGGCCAGCCAGGCTTCCACCTCTCTTCTTCACAAAGAGCTTTTTGTTCAGTCCAGTGTGGCTTTGGTGTTCAGGTCGCTGACACCAACCTAGACACTCAAGGATCTTGCTCAGCAACAGGCCAGGCAGACCCGCGCTGCCACACCCATGACCAACTCACCTTCTCTTTCTCTCCCTCTTGCATCCTCGTGCCCCGGTGCCGCCATCCCACTGCCCAGTGATTGGAAAATACAGCCAGCACCCAGACTCAGGTGAGTCCCTGCACACCTGCACAGCCTCTTCTCTTACGGCCTCATGGGACCTTGCAGAAAGAATCACCAACTGGTTTTCGTTTCCTCTCTTCTCCCCTTTGCCCTCCAAGAACTGCAGCTGAAGTTGGCCGTAGGTTGGACACCATACATCTGTATTCTCTGCCCCCCGCCACGCAAGAGGGCACTCGTGTTGCCCGGTTCTGTGCAGCTTGGCACTAATGCCACCTGTCCCTGCAGTCAGTGCAGGCCCTGGCCCTGCCCAGAGCAGGGGTCTCAGGACAGAGGGGGGGGTGGGGATCGGAGCCCCGGGGTGCTGGGCTTGGCTGGCTGCGCTATGGGGAAGCCATTGTCCCCTTGGGGCTCTCTCAAGCTCACTGCTCTCTGCTCTGGGACAGCAGCGCCACCGGGCTGCACCTCCTTCGGCTGCTGCACGCGCCCGGCCCCGCCTGAGCCTGTTCCCTCCGTGCAGCCCTGGGGTAGTACCTGGGCCCGGCTGTGTGGCCCCCAAGTGCATGCACCAGACGCCACCTGTGCACCCAGCCTCCAGAGCCACAGTCAGGCGCTGGGCTGCCATGCACTCTCCTGCCAGGCCTGGGAAATCACGTTTCGGTTATGTGCATTTTTCACTAAGGCATCCTGGATCTGGCTGCGCACGCCTGAGGCTGAAATCGTTGAGGCTCCCTGGTCCCTGAGGACACGTGGAGAGGCCATCGTGCCCTCCTGGGCTCTGCCACCGGCATAGGTGTCTGGGCAGGCTTGGGGCTCAGAGGACCAAGGGAGCCGGCCTTGCTGGGGCTCCAGCTCCTCTCTGCGCTCCCGGGGTGGGGTAGGGCCCAGGTCCTCCCCTCCTGGTCTCCTCCTCCCTTCGCCTTACATCCCTTCTCATGCCCTCCAGGGATGAGCGACAGTGTGAAGGACAAGTTCTCCATCTCCTTCTCCATCGTGGGCATGTTCGCCTCCCACGCTGTCGGGAGCCTCAGCGTGTTCTTCTGTGCAGAGATCACCCCCACGGTGATAAGGTGGGTGACAGGGTGCCTGCGGGAACCCACACCAGCTCTGCCCCCCTGGCTTCCGAACCAGGGCTCTGAGCAGCACAGCTCCCTGCCGCATGGCCAGGTGGAATCTTGAGCTGGGCTCCTATCCAGGCAGCAGCCACTGAAACAGGGAGCAGGAGGGTCTTCTGGGTAGAGGAAACAAACATGGCAGTAACCAGAAGGGAGGAGATTCCACACTGCCACTCACAGCCCACACTGCAGCTGAAATCAGAGCTCTTAAATCTTCTAAGAGACCTCAGTAACAAGACTACTTCAAAAGGAAAAAGGAAGCCGGGCACAGTGGCAGGCACCTGTAATCCTAGCTACCTGGAGACGGAGGCAGGAGGATCCCAAAGTTCAAAGACTAAGCAAACCAGGGAGAGCTCTGTCTCAAAAATAATTAAGAAGGAAGTAGGGAGGATCTGTCATTTATTGGCCTGAGAAGTCATGTCACTAATCCAAAGGAAGCTGTCAGAGAGGGCCAGTGAGTTATACGGCTGACCTAGCTAAGAGCATTTATTGAGCCAGATCCTGTACCTGGTCAGTGACACAATACCCCAGGCCCCGGGAGGGTTGTCCTGAGACCCCGCCCTCCTGAAAGGTGTTGTTAACCCCTCAGAAGTTCTGCTGCCTGCCTCACAAGCACAAGGTTCTAAGTTTGATCCCTGGCACCAAAAAGAAAAAAAGAAAGAAAGGTAGTGTTATCCTGTGCTCAGCTGCTTTTAAATCGCAAAAGGAGCTCTCCTCTTGCTGGGGCACTCCCAGGTGTAGAGCTGGGATGATACACACCGTTTAATGTGCTGAAGATGACAGCATAATGAAAACTAAGTTACTTAAAAAAGCATTTGTTACCTAACTGTAGTCACACCATTTCCCTGATGGCAGGTTGAACATTCCCAATCTGAAAAATATAAAATTGAACATGCTCCCAAATCCAAAACTTTTCTTGCCACGTGACTCCACGGTGGACAAGCCTACAGCATGAAGCTTTTTCATGAACAAAAGTATTAAGAATGACCTTCAGGGCCTGCACAACAATGTAGATGTAAATGAATTTTGTGCTCAGACTGGGTCCTGTCCACAAGATATCTCATGATGTCTGAAACGAATCCATGATGCAGAACACTTCTGATCCCAGGCATTTTGGAGAAGAGATATTTAGCCTGTGCTTCTTTCGGTGCCCTACTGAAAAGCAGGGCTTGACTGCAGCACACTGAGAGCTGGTTAGCATTGCCAATGCACGTGCTGCATAAGGATCGGTCCCTACTGGGCTGGGAGCCGAAGCCCAGCAGTCAGGGCAGTGAGGAAGGCACCTTCAACAACGCGGGGCTGGGAGCCAGTGGCAGGCAGGTTCCCGGCTCTCTTCCTCCCCACATTCCTGGAGTCAGGCTGACTGCGGATCTTGCACAGGGTCTGGATTCAGTTCATCCTCTTGCATCTTTACAATCCAAGTCCAGCCTGATGGACTCGGTTCCTGAAAGAAAATGCTGGGGTATCATAAATTTAAGAAAAGAACAATCCAGGGCCCCTAGTCTGTCCTCATCCTGTGCCGAGGGCCACCAGAAGGAGGTGGCAGGAGCTTGTCTGGGGCCCTCTGTGTCTGTCACCTGGGAGAACTTCTTCCTTTATAAAAGAATCTGGCAGAGGCAACTCTCTCAATAAAGCCAAGTCCATGGCCAGATGTTCCAGGTTCCCATCTGGACTCTGGCAGCCTCTATGAGCCCCTGTGCATCGCTCGGGGCCAGGGAGGTAGCATGCGACTCTGGTAGTCGGGCACCCCCTTATCTACTGTTAGATTTTGCTTAGTAAACTAGAAAGAAGGAAACAAAATATCCTATTCCTCTTTGATGCAAACTTGGAAAGACTATTTCAGGATAGGAATGCAACAAGTGTGTCCCAAGATGACCAACTAGAAAAAATATGGGACCCAGAATGAAAGGGCAGAGTCCAGAGGGTCCCCTGCCAGGCTGGAGGAGGTCAGTGTTCCGATGTATCTCACCCTCTTCTCTCCCACAGCCGGTGTGGCACCTGGGGTGGGCATGTGCTTTCCTCCCAGCCCCCACTCTGCCAGCTAAGTCTAAGGCCAGGGAGGGTGACCAGTGCGGGGCCCACAGGCTTCCTCTGAGTGCAGAACTTGCCTTTTTCCATAGCACAGTACTAACAACAAACCTTCCTAGCAAGAATAGTAACAGGGCTGGGGATTTAGCTCAGTGGTTCTGGCACCTGCCTCGCAAGCACAAGGGCCCGAGTTCAATCCCCGGCACCAAAAAACAAACAAACAAAAAAGAGCAGAAGCAGCCAGGCATGGTGGCGCACACCTGTGATCCCAGCACTAGCGAGACTGAGGCAGGAGGATCACTGCGAGTTCAAGACCAGCCTAGGCTACGTAGTGAGTTCCAGGTCAGTCTCAACTACATAGTGAGACCTTGTCTCAAAACAACAACAACAAAAAAAGAGCAGAAACAGAGATTAGGATGCCAGAGGGTCGGGGTGTGGGGGTTTGAGGGCTGGCTTAGCAGATGTGAGGCCCTGAGCTCCATCACCATACTGCCAAAAAAAAAAGAAAATTCTCGAATCTGTCAGGGGGGTGTGGTGGGGCACATCTGCAATCCCAGCACCCCAGAGGCTGTGTTTGAGGCCAGCCTGAACTACATAGTGAGACCCTGACTCAAAAGACAAAGCAAAGCAAAGCGAAACTGCCAAGATTGAATGAACACACATGCCAAGTTAGACGGTTTTCTGCACATGTGCTTTTAAAACCCACTGCCCAGAAGATGACAGAGGCTAAGCAGCACGAGTTGCATCTTCTTCTGGGGCAGCGTCCAGTCTGGGGTGACGGGGCTCCCCGCCACTGCCATCTGGGCTCTGTCCAGGTGGTGCTCACTGTCAGACACGCAGCTCAAGTCGGCCTGGGAAAGAACCGCATCTGAAGCCCCATCTCTCCCTGGCCGTGGGTGGAAGTGACCAGGGGTCCAAGGCTGGTCTGCATGCGGCTGGTGGCTCTTCCGTGATGGACCACTGTCCACTGTCCAGCCGGGAGCCAACGCCCACAGCACCTGTGACGGTCAGCACAGAGACGGGGTGGGAGGAAGGGGAGCCAGTGTGCTGCGTCCAAGACTTCAGTCTCAGCTGGGCCAGACCCCGGGGCCTCGAGCCAGTCACCAGCCAGCCTGTTGTCTCTGCCTTCAGGTGACACCGGCCTGGTTAGTGGTGAAGAATGACAGGAGGGTTCCTGCTCAGGTTCCTGCTTCTCCACCCAGATTCCACTGACCGCAGACAGGAAATGTTTGGGGATAAAGCATTTGTTCCGAACATGCAGGGACCTTCTTTGGGCCATTATTTCCTAAACAATAAGTATAACAACTACTTGCACAGTATGTATTTCCTTGGGCACTGTAAATAATCTGAGATTTAAAGTCTACCAGGAAGGTGTGCACAGGTTCCATGTAAATCCCATGCCATTTCCTCTAAGGGACTCGAGCGTCTGTGGAGTCTGGTGCTCAGGGGGTCCTGAAGCCAGACCCCAGCGACACCAAGCATGCCTAGGAGAAACTGACCTGGGACAGTTTGTGTGGCTGTTCCTGCCCGGATGCTGGGCAGCTACATTCCTCTAACAACTGTTGCAAATGTGTGTTCATCCTCGTGTCGCAAATACGCAGTGAAGACAAGAACTGTAAAAGAGGAAGTGAAAAAAAAATGAGAGGCTTGTTTCATGTATTAAAATGCAAAATGATAGCTGGGCGTGGTGGCACACACCTGTAATCCCAGCACTTGGGAGGCTGAGGCAGGAGGATCGCTGTGAGTTTGAGACCAGCCTGGGCTACATAGTGAGTTCCAGGTCAGTTTCAACTACACAGTGAGACCCTGTCTCAAAAAACAAAACAAAACAAAAAATGCAAAATGGTAATGCTCATGTTTTTAACAGTAGTCTGAAGATTCTGCCGTTCTTAACTCAAGCTCGCTACTTCCAAGTCTTCCTGTGTATTTCTGTCCTTAAAGATGCACAGGTATTATTACTAGCAAAATAAAGACACTTGCTCGGTACAGTCAAATTGTGCTCCTAAAGCACAAGCAAGGAGGCCTTCCTCCGGGTTCTCTTCTATCTGTAAAAGCAAATTACTGCTCTGCTGTGGAAACACGGACACAGGCTGCCCTCTAGCGCCCACCTGCAGAACAGCAGAAAATGCCTAGCCAAGGTCTGCCTTTTGCTAGCGTTTTAACTGGGCAACTTAAAACCAAGCATGTCCGTACCCCACTAGGGATTCCACCGGAGGAAAAAACAAGCCAAAAATGGTATACCGATGTCCATTAAAACTGTCCCTAATACTCCATGACTTCAAGGAATCCCCCTTTTTTTTTTTACTGGAGATTGAGCTCAAGGCCTTTGTACTAGGTACACTCAGCCCTAGCCTTATTTGTTTGTTAATCTTGAGACAGGGTCTAAATTGACTGCCGTGGGCTCAAATTTGCAATACTCCTGCCTCAGCTTCCTTGAGTGTTGGAATGGTGTGCCCAGCTTGGAATCTTTGATAGAAAACCAAACAAATATACATACATACATGTGTGTATGTGTGTGTGTGTGTGTATGGGGGGATAAAAATATAGTCACACATTCCTTACCAACAGGATATGTTCTGTGAAGTGCATCATTAGACAATTTCAATGTTGCAGGGACATCCTAGAGTTCTGCGACACAGGCCTGATGGTCTAGGTCACTCGTGTGACAGAAAGGGGACACAGAGATATGCAACTGCTGCTTTCACCGCTGGCTGAAACTTTGTTACACATCTGTGACTGTGCCCCATGTTCCACAAGCTTACAAATGTGTATCGCACACCATGTGCACACACAGACATGCATAGCGTTTTTCAAATGAGCCACGATAACATATTTCACTTGCCATGGTTTACTGACACACTATACACACTCATACTTCCTGGCATCCGGCCTCTCGGGGGGTCTACACTCCACCTTCCGGTGTGGCAGGGGTGCAGTTCACACTTGGTGCCAGGAAGGGCAGGTGGAAGTGAGGGAGGCTTCACAGAAAAAGGTGTCGAGCTGGTCTCAAGGGCCCAGTGGAACTTTATCCCTGGCTTCCGATTACATCCCTCCCACTGCCCTGCAGCTTCCTGAAAGGCCCCGATTTATCAGAAGTACAGAGAGCCAGTAGTAGGTGTGCGTATTACTCACCCGACAAACGGACTGACCTCACTGCTCTTGGTTGTGGTCGCCTATATTTAACCTGTGCCATCTCCTTGGGTGACCCTAATTTCCCACCTAGGAAGCCAGTGTGAGCCCGAGCATCCAATGCTTATTACGTACAGTGTGTGCCCGCTGATGCTACGGAAAACAATCCGTGCCCTTGCAGGTCCCCAGATGAGGAAGGATGCCCGCCCGGCATGTGGGCAAATACTGACAGGAAGAAGCACACGATCCTGGACCTTCTGTCTGGAAATGGGGCCGGCATCTGGGAGATACCCCCAAAAGTACTGCATCTTCTTATTTGCATCCTCAAAGGGTCAACAGCTCGATGGTGCGACTTCCACACCATGGTGCCTGTGGGATGACTCAGCAGCCATAGGCAGGACCAGGTGTCCATGGGGTGTGGGCAGAGGGACTCAGCCGCTAGACGGCTCTGGCTGGGGCCACTGTGGTCCTTGCCACGTGGACGTGGACAACAGGGCTGCTTACTGAAGGCAGCTAACAGGTCTGCTCCAAGGCCAGTCAGGAAGGGACTTCTCACTCCAGGCTGTGCTTCATGTTAAAAGTGACTGACTTGCACCTTGGCGTCAAGCCCAGCCCAGACTCAGGCATGACAGGGGACGCTGGGAGGTGGGAAGCAGTCTCTGGAGCACCTCCACAACCTGACCACAGTGTGAGTGACACCTGGTCTCGGCTGTGGCTGCACTGAGGCTGGGACGGGAGACTGAGCCACCTGGGATTTCGCCCTTGAAAACCCCTACAGCCAATCAGAGACTCACAGACAGGCACTGCAAGTGTCCTGGGGTGACACTGGGGAGTCCTGGGGGTGCTGTGGGAGCAGGGACAGAGATCTGGGCCCGACATAGCCCCAGGCTGTTCCCTCGGGGAGGTCTGTGAGAACCAGGTAGGGACCAGGGCAGAGCAGAGTACAGATCCTGCCTGGCAGCCTCAGCAGCCATGGAGAGTGCAGTGCGCACAGTCTCTGGGTGCTTGGGAAGGAAAAGGGGGCCTTGGGGCTGCCTGAACAGAACACAAGACTCGCACGGGAGACCCACCTGCACAGCAGTGCCACTGGGGTGGAATGACACACCTCACATTCATGCATTTAAAACTCAAGTTCAGGACGGGTAAATGCAGGACATCTATGACCACAATCCGACTGTGTGATATTTTATCCCCTCCACCGGCCCTTTGTGCCCTTTGCATTCAGTCTCTGTCCTCACCCCAGGACTAGCAATCGCTTATCCTCTCTGTCTCTGATCGGCCCTTCCTAGCATTCCTATCAAAGGGATCAGACAGAACCTCCGTGCATTTCTAAAATCCCCTGCATGCAGCATGCATTCAGGCCTGCTCCTCTTCACGGATGACTCCTTTCTGCCAGGTCTGAAGTGCAGCCTTGCGTCTGCCCTTCACCAGCCAGTGCGCATCTGTGCATGCAGGGTTGGGCTATTAGCAACAATGCTGCCACAAGCATTTGCATCGCAGCTTTTTATGGGTACTTGTTTTCCATTTGTTTCACATGTGGAAATGCTGATTACATAAAAATCTATGTTCAGCCTTTTAAGAAACTACCGATCGCTTTCCCAAGTGGCTGCTAGCAGTTCAAATATATGAGGCTGTGTGACTGTCCGGCTTCTCCAGTCTGCTCACTACGCTATTCGTTCTCTCACTACGGTCTTCCAAGAAGGTGTGCAGTGCTGGCATTGTGGTGTTAATGTGCATTTTTCAAATGACTAATAACGTCGTGCTCCTCTCTGTGTCTTGCTGAACATCTGTGGTTCATACAGTTTCTCTGGAGCAAAGTCTGTCTTTTGCCCATTTTTAAATTGTCTTCTTCTTTATTTAGAGCTCATTATATATTCTGGATACACCTCCTTTATCAGTTATTTGCTTTGCAAATGTTTTCTCCCCATCCAGGGCCTGTCTTCTCCCTTTCTGAGGCATGTGTCCTCTGAAGGGTAGGTGATTTTGATTTCGATGAAGTCCAGTTAACCAACTTTTTATTTTCTGGATCCTGCACTGGGGGTCATAGCTAAGAGCTCCACCTGACTCGAGGTCACACAGATTTTTCTCTTACTTTGTCTTATAGAAGTGCTGTGATTTTAGCTCTTGTGTATGATTCATTCTGAGTTCCCTTTTTGATATGATGTGAAGCATGTGATTATCGCATTATGGGCACTTCTTGTTGAAAGAACCACCCTTTCCCCCACTGAATTTGCTTTTGGCAAAAGTCAGCCCGAAGTGTAAAGGTTTATTTCCAAAACCCTGATTCTGTTCCATTGATCTATTGATACAGCAGCACGGCATTGCTCTAATTAGTGCCGCTTCAGAGCCCATTTTGAATTGGAAGGGAACTCTTCCATTTTGTTCTTTTCAAAACTTGCTTTTGGCTACTCTGGATCCTTTGTATTCCCATATAGATTTTAGGATCAAATCATCTTATTTCAGCACTGGAGATCAAATTCAGGACCTTGAGCTTCCCAGGAAGGTGTGGTGCCTCTGAGCTAAGTCCCCAGACCCTTCATCTTCTTAAAAGAAGGAGGGGGAGGAGGAAATCAGCTGGGATTTTCATAGGATTTGTGCTGAACCTGCACATGAGCTTGGGAAGAAATGACATCGTCAGTGTTGTGTCTACCAGCCCATGAACGTGGAATGTCTCTCCATTTACTTTTGTCTTATTTGAATTCTCTCAGCAGTGCTTTGTAGTTTCACTGGGCAAGTCTTGCTTGTCTTTTGTTATTTATTTCTAGGCTTTTTAATTTCATAGTCAGGTAGTTTGTAGCTAGCATATAGACAAACATGTGGTATGTTGGCCTTGTAATAGTGATTTTGTGAGTTAAGAGCCACCTGCTGTGCCAGCCAAGAGAACCTCAAAGTCAGTAGCTGGCAGAGCATGCCCCCTTCCTGTCCTCTGCGGGGACCTTCTCTCAGCCCCTTCGCCTCAATGTCCAGAGACAGAGGTCCCTTCACAGGGCAGTGCATAAGCCTCAAGCAGCAGTTAGAAAGTTCTTCCGTAAACTAACTGCAGTGCCCATCTCTGCCCACTGCTCTGGGGCTGGACACACAATTTTCCACCCCTTGGAGACAAGAGCACCATCAGCTGCTGGCCTCAGGGAGGCCAGGAAAGCCCACTCTGGCCTGGCCTGACATCGGAGCACCCCATTCCCACCGTAGCCAGAAGTGCACAGCTTCTCCACTACAGCCTGGGGAGGGGACTTGTGAGCGTTGTGTGTCTGCTCCTCCCGCCCAAACCTTCCTGGGCTCCTGCTCTGTGAGCAGAGGGCCAGAGCGAGCTCCTCTCAGTGAGGGAAGCGTGGCCTTGTTTCCAGGCCATTCTGAGGTAATCCTGAGCTGGGCCATGGCGGCACACAGGACGACAGCTCGTTGAGGAAGTCACTGTCCTTAGAGAACAGATATCATCAGTCTCCAATTATGACGAAGAGAAGGCCTCTTGTAGAGTCAATCTTTAACGTTTGGTCATCCACCAGTTCCTTTTATAAAGCCTTGGGGGCATAGCACAATTTAATAACACTTTAGTTTTTTATGCCAAATAAATGGGGGGGTTGGTGTTGCTTCATTTGCAGTAGGATTCTAAATTAAGCTCATGTCTAATTAATTAATTAAGCTTAAATTTTAGAGTTGATAAAAGCAGTTGCTGAACCAGGTGGGGCCCTGGTGACTGACAGTGGTTGGGGGCATCTATGGGATGTGGTGTCAGGGGGAGGGGCCACCGCAGGGGCGGAGCCTCCCTGGCATCCGCCCATCTCCAGCAGCTTTACTGAATGCCACGGACTGGGTAGTACATGAAGAACAAAGGTTTGTCCACTCCAGGGAGGGTAGTGCCCAGTGAGGACCCCTTGTTGCTGGGAACTCTGCAGGGTCCCGTGGTGGGGCAGGCGAGCTCGTGGCAGGGCAGAGCGGAAAAGCTGGCTCAGGGCCTCCCTTTCCCTAAGGGCACCCCGACCACGCAACCACGCGACCACGGGCAATGACTTGGGCCTCTTTCCAAAGGCCCCGCCTACGCTGAGGGCCTGGGGCGTGGCCTCACGTGGCCCCCGCCCCCGCTAAAGCTGTGCTCTGCCTACCCTTGCAGGTGCGGTGGGCTGGGGCTGGTGCTGGCCAGCGCGGGCTTCGGCATGCTGACGGCGCCCATCATCGAGCTGCACAACCAGAAGGGCTACTTTCTGCACCACATCATCTTCGCCTGCTGCACGCTCATCTGCATCATCTGCATCCTCCTGCTGCCCGAGAGCAGAGACCAGAACCTGCCCGAGAACATCTCCAACGGGGAGCATTACACGCGGCAGCCGCTGCTGCCACACAAGAAGGGGGAGCAGCCGCTCCTGCTCACCAACGCTGAGCTCAAGGACTACTCGGGCCTGCACGACGTGGCCACCACCAGCGACGGGCTGCCTGAGGGCGCCACGGCCAACGGCATGAAGTCCATGTAGCCCCGGGCCGCCGTCCCTCGAGCCCCCGCGGGCGCCGGGCTGCGGGCACAGGCAGGGCTCCCAGCCGGGCGGACGCCTGGCGGTCAGAGTCCAGCTGCGCCGCGAAGCTCTGGGCCGGTGTGGGGGAATTGTCTCCACGGAAGTCCAAGGAATGGGGTGGAGGAGCAGACTCTTCGGAAATAACCCTTCGCAGACTCGCTCTTCTGCCCTTAAATGTTTATATTTATTTTGGTCATTTTTACCAAAAGCACTTTATCCCCTCTCCTCTCACTGATCATGAAGTGGAAACACTGGCCTTGGCCAGCGAGTGAGGCAGGCCGCCCCGACATCACCCCAGGACCTCGTGAGTGGCCGACGCTGCGGGCGTCTCCGCCCTGGGGACACGCGGCTCCGTGGACAGCGTGACATTCACGTGGGCCTCGCAAGCCTGAATGCACACAAATTCGGTCTTTGCTACGGGCTGTGTGTGTTTTTTAGAGTTTGTTTCTCCCTTTCCATGTGTAAGGTAAGAGTTTCCACCCCGTGTGCTGGGGGAAAGGGCTCCCAGACACGAGCAGAACCAGCGTAGTCTCGCTTCAGGGTCATCCTCTGTACTTGATGCTGAAAGCTCTTGAGGGAAACCCTAACTGATCAGCAACGAGCCGCCGGCTCTCTGGCACCAGGCCTGCTTCACTGCGGCAAAGCTAGCGGGGACGCTGAGGTCTGGGACTCATGCGTTTTTATTAAACATCCTCCCCAGATTCAGGTCCAGCAGAAAAACTCCCCTTTCCAGTCCCATTTATTGCCGGCACTACTTGAAACCATGGCTATTTTCTGAACTGAAACACTAGGAACATAACTGACAAGGACAGCTAAGGCAGATCCCGGGAGCGAGGCCCTGCCCTCCCGGCGCGGTTCCCACATCTCAAGCACACACCCAGACTCCAGCTCCTGCCGCCCCTCGTGCCCAGCACCCTTGGAGGCCGGGTCCACCTATGTCTTCCTTCCCACCGTGGAGGTGGGGCACAGGCGGGAGGGTCCGAGGGGCCGCAGCAGGGTGAACCAAGAGAAGCAATAACTCACCCAAGCTCAGCGCCGCCGCCCAGCTGCAAGGTTCTCGTCGTTCGCCTCCCCTCACCGGGCGGTTGGAAGGTTTCCTTCTGGCTGGCGTCTGCAGAGGACACTCAGGATGCCGCCTGGGCTGCTGAGAAGCCAGCCTCCGCCTTCTCCCCACCGTTCCCTAGGTAGGCAGAGCTGCAGCCACTTGGTCCCTGTTCTCCCGTTTTCCCGCTAGAGCCACTGCTGCCCGCCCCCAGCCATGTGCACAGCCCTGTGCTGCCTTCTTCTAGCGAAGTCATCCTGAGCTCAGCTTCCTGAGACAGTCACTAGCTAGTGGAAAGGGCCGGAGCGGGTTGCTTCCACCCCGTGTTCCCCTCCGAATCCGGCACAGACATCCCGGAGCCTGCTGCCTGCCCGGCCAACCTGCTCCTTGCTGTCTCTACTCTCGTTCCATGTTTCCTGTTAGTCTGAGTCACCCTTCCAAAGGCCTTTCTTTAGCTCTGTGCAGCCTTCGCGTGCCAAACTTGTGAAATACCTTTCCCCCTTTCCAGGGTACCGGCTGCCTGGTCCCCTGGCAACAAACCCTGATAAGGATGGGTTGGGACACTGCAGGAGCCGTGAGCAGTCTAGAGGCCATGCAGCCTTTAAGGAGCCTGGAAGCTGCTGCGTGCTGCTGAAACCACTAGGAGGGCAGGGTCACTGCTCTCCACCTCAGGGGAGAGGCTAGGAACCTTGGGGCTGCAGAGCTCCCCGCTTCAGCAGTCAGGGCCGAGCCATCGTGACCAGAGGAGACACAGCTTTGAGGTGTGGGCTCAGGACAGTATGGGTGAGGCTGACCTGCTGCAGGGCCCTGCTGGCAGCAGAGGGTCCCTGAACCTCTGGATGAAGCGCGGCGGCAGTGGGAAGGCCTCCCTGGGGCAGAGCCTGGACGGGTGCCAGGGGAGAGGCAGCAGCTCCCCCAGAGCTGACGCACTGCCTCAGCCCCACCTCCAGCACCAGCTGCCGGAGTCCCAGTCCCGCCGGCCAAGAGGCCCGCCCATCCCCAGGCCTGGACTCCCCACCATCCTCCCCCCACCACCTGTACCCACCTTTTTGATAAAAGTTATGCACAAATGTGAATACCTGAGATGGGACTGAATATTTCTTCTTTCTGTTCTTTTCCGGAAGTCAATAATAATTCTCATCAGATATCCTAATTAGCATCCAATGCAAATAGGCGAGAAAGTCTTAAGTGTGTTCGTTTTCTAAGACCCTAACTGCTTCCAACTGGAGGACAGGACTGGTAAGTTGGTTCGGCCACAGAGTGCAGAACAGACCTGGTAGAGGAAGCAGCTCAAACACAACCACTTCCTAGAGCCAAACAGAAACCCCTGAACTGGAAGTGCCATTGGACTCTTGTGACCATGTGACCATCACCTCGCCCAGCCCCAGGGTGGAGGGTGGGCTGGGGGCCCAGTGTCAGCCGTCTCCTTGTTTCGGAGGACACCACCTCACTGTAATGTATTGTGTGTGTTGAGAAGCAGCGGTGTGTTGTCTAGTGAGGGATGCGTCCCTACCTCTGTCCTTCCTGCAGCCAGCAGCGTGGGGCTTGAACCCAGGAACTATGTGACTGCCTGCGCCGAGGTCCCTGTGGCCGTATTCGTTCATAGCACAAGCTCACACTGAGTTCTGAACTGTCGTGCACAGCTATGTGTCTGCATGGTGTCGCCTCTGTTGTACCTCTGGGGAAAATTCGTATGTAAATGTACAGAAATAAAAATGTTGCCCCATGAACAGATTTCCTCTGGAATGTCTTCCCTACCTCACCTGATGGCATCCAACGAAGGGCATTTCACTATCACTGCAACAAGTAATAAAAAACCTCCCTGTTGATTCAGACTTCGCTGCATCCCTACTTTCCACAACTCTGTACTGCATCTTTGCTGGGCTGGGGTGGGGGGTTGGGGGGGGCCTCTGTCCCAGAGCCCTAGTTTTAAAGGCAGTCAGACACAGAGATGGGATTCAGCAGAAACTGTTTATCCAGTGCCTCTCGGACCACCTGAGAGTTCAGTATTCTGAGGAGGAATTTTTTTCTCTCATTATGCTCTGGTAATCCGTGGCCTGAGGGTTCCGAGAGGTCAAGAAATGAATATCTTAAACTGTGATTCTGCGAGGAAAGACTGATAACCCAAAACTCTTCTCTAATGTAGTATTTTTTAACAAGAAAACAATATTTCTTTAATAAAGTATTTATACCAAACTCTTCTCTCCATAGCCCTGATTTTGTGTCACTTACTATTCTAGTCCTACAAGGTGCCCATGGTGCTTTCTGAGCCACAGTAACACAGGCTGAGGCTGCTGAGGTCGGCGGGGATTTCTGCAGCAGAGGGTGGCACCTGGGACCCCAGACACACTCCTCTGAAGGCCCTGACTTTTGGCCAGCATCACCAACCTTGGCTGGCTCAATAGAGAAATGATGACTGTGCCCTAATGAGCCACCTCTAAGAACAAAAGAACCACCCCCCCAAAAAAAAGATCACGCCAAAGTTTACAGAGCCTTTGCCAGTGGTGCCCAACCTTCCTGCTCACAGAATCATCCAGGGACTTTGCAACCCCACCAGAGCCTGGGCCCTGGACCAGCTGGGGCCCTGGGGAAAGGCCAGGAATGGAACTCAAGAGGTAGACAGAAAAAGGCAGATACTTGGGCATAGGAAAAAAGAAGACAAGGGAAGAGGAGATAATAACTAGAAAAGCAAGTGGGACCTGAGGCATCTGTATCCATAAAAATGAAGGCAGTAAGACTACAGTTGAAATATAAATTCCCAGGGCAAACCTTTCTACATGTTAATCCCAGCAATAACCCAACAATGTAAGAATCAGTCCCATCTTGTAGATGAGAAAACAGAGCCCAAAGAAGCTAGAAACCTGACCACATAGCTAGTAAACAGTCTCAAGTGGGCCCAAAAAAGTGAAGTACCCAGGGGAAGAGTTTAGAGAGAACATGCTGGAAAGACCCCAGGGGAAAGATTTAGAAGCAACACAGCAAAAAGAAAGTGCTCTGGGAAGGGATTGCTGAAGTGAGAAGATGAACACATCAACTCAGGGCAGACAGAAGCCTAGGGACACATCCACAAACCTAAGCCATGCTAACCTAAAGTACATTACTAACCTTAACTCTTAACTGGGGATGTAAAAGTAACAGAGTCCTGCCTGATTTAAATTTGGGCTATTGGATACTACCTGTTAATCCCAACAAATCCATTTTCACACCTTTCCCATGTCACTGAGTGGTCAACAAGAAAGCCTTTCCTGCCCCCTTGTTTTTCTCCTTCCAGGCCCCTCAATCTGAGCCTTTCTGGCCCACATTGGTGAGAGCTTAACCTGATAAAAATAAAATAGGAACACAGCCTGATGACCAAATAAAAACATTTATTTCAATGTCAATTTATATTCTCCCTTGCGCCACTCAGAACTTCTCCGGAAAAGCCTCCATTTCTTCCTTGATCCTGTTTTCTATGAGCAGGGCAAAGTTACTGTCTGTGTTTTGAAGATTATAGCTGACGAACACCTGCTTGTTGGTCTTCCTGGCTGAAAGAGCACACAATGAGGCTTCCATGAGCCAAGCCCACAGGCTCCAGACTCCCTGCCCGCCTGGCTCTGGGGGACACTCAGGGAGCGTGGGGTTTAGGGAGAGCAGCCCCTTTGGCAACTCCTCAGGCCCCATGCACCCCTTGCACCAGAGGAATGGGGGTGCAGCCAGCAGCCAGTGTTAACAAGCCTTCCAGGGGCCCCACCCCTGATGTTCTAGAACCTCTGCTCTACACAGGGCTTTAGCTTCTTTACAGCACAGGTGATGTTAAAGTTCTCTTTGAGTACCAGCTCCCTCTACTAATTCTACTTCCCTTCTCAAGGTAATTCTACATTTCTGTGCATTCACACGTACATCTTCACATTTGTGTACATGTGTGTGCACATGTATACTGTGCACGTGTGTGACTTCCTGGCACCAAAGGTGATCTTTATCCCCTTTCAACAGAACAAACTACAACTACATTGGTCCAACTGCAAACACCAAGCAGAGGTGCACAGCCCCAAATCGGGAAGACACATGGTCCCTGGAGAGCAGGCAGCAAGCCCATGCTGGGTTGGGGCTGACCGAGCTGTGCCAGGGTCCTCACCTTCACCTTGCCATGCCCTGAGCATCCTGGGTGGCCACCTGCAGCTCCAGGCCCACCCTGTGCCCACCGAGGTATCCTCAGGATGTGTCACCAGCTGGGTACAGGAGCAGCTGGGTGCCTGGCCAGCACCCAGTCCATGCGGAACCAGGCACAGGGCTGGCAGGAGCAGAGCACTTTCAGAGGGCCCCACCCCACCCAAGTTCCAAGTCTTCGTGCTAAGTTAGGAAGGGGAAACAGTGGGCATTATCTCACTGCCTGACTCTACGGGAGGATAGGGGAGGATAGGGGAGGATGGGCCCCAGCACATCTCCACCTCACTGAGGCACGCGAGGGGAGCCTGGGGCACTGGGGCAACAAGAATCCCAATGCAAGTGCGGCCTGGCAGACCTGGGAGCCCTGACTGGTCACACCCGCTCAGTGGCGCTGCTTCCACTGCATCAGCCACCCACCCTCCAGGCAGAGAAGAAGGAACTTCGGGGAATCACCGCAGCCCCTGCCCCATCTGAGCTGCACGCAGCCCCAGACCCTGGACATAGGGCTCGGCTTGGGCCGCCTTAGGCCAGAGATCGCACTGGTCCTCCCTCTGTGGCCAGGCTGCAGCTGAGCACTGTCCTGAGGCTGCCCTCAGGCCTATTGCTCGAGGCTCCCTAGCCAACTCCTGCCCCTTCCTGCTGGGTTCACTGGAGACCAGCTTTGGTCTGCCAGGCGTGGGCCCCCCCCCGAACTGTCTACATTGCCCCTTCACAGCCAAAGCACACACAGCAAGTGGCTCGGAAGCAGAGAAAGGTTGAAGCAGGGACAGGGTGGTCTCCAGGTGCCTTTCTTGAACTCTGAGGGGAGGGAGACTGGGGAC